TGTACGAATGGCTTGTGATGCCCTTTGGCCTTACCAACGCCCCAAGCACGTTCATGAGGCTCATGAACCATGTCCTACGAGCTTTTATCGGTAAATTCGTTGTGGTTTATTTCGATGACATCTTAATTTATAGCAAATATTTTACCGATCATGTGACACATCTTGAGCTAGTCATGGAGACTCTCCGACGAGAGAAACTTTATGCCAACCTCAAGAAGTGCACCTTCTGCACTAATGAAGTTGTTTTTCTAGGATTTGTTGTGAGTTCGCAGGGATTACGTGTGGATGAAGAAAAGATAAAGGCAATACGAGAATGGCCAACTCCTACAACCGTCGCCCATGTTAGGAGCTTCCACGGATTGGCTAGCTTCTACCGACGATTTGTTCGTGATTTTAGCAGCCTTGCAGCCCCTCTCACGTCCATTATAAAGAAAGACAGACCATTCGAGTGGGGAGATGCACAAGAGAAAGCATTCAACGTGCTTAAGGAACAACTCACAAGCGCACCCGTCTTAGTCCTTCCCGACTTTGACAAGGTATTTGAAATTGAATGTGATGCATCCGGTGTGGGTATTGGAGCTGTTTTGATGCAGGAAAACCGACCCGTGGCGTTCTTCAGCGAGAAGCTAAATGGAGCAACACTCAACTATCCAACTTATGACAAGGACCTTTATTCCTTGGTGTAGGTGCTTGAGCGTTTCATGGTCTGTATGTATGATGAACTCCTTTGCCAAGAGGTAATGTTGCCACGTTTGCAGTGCACACACCAAGGAATAAAGGTCCTTGTCATAAGTTGGATAGTTGAGTGTTGCTCCATTTAGCTTCTCGCTGAAGAACGCCACGGGTCGTTTTTCCTGCATCAAAACAGCTCCAATACCCACACCGGATGCATCACATTCAATTTCAAATACCTTGTCAAAGTCGGGAAGGACTAAGACGGGTGCGCTTGTGAGTTGTTCCTTAAGCACGTTGAATGCTTTCTCTTGTGCATCTCCCCACTCGAATGGTCTGTCTTTCTTTATAATGGACGTGAGAGGGGCTGCAAGGCTGCTAAAATCACGAACAAATCGTCGGTAGAAGCTAGCCAATCCGTGGAAGCTCCTAACATGGGCGACGGTTGTAGGAGTTGGCCATTCTCGTATTGCCTTTATCTTTTCTTCATCCACACGTAATCCCTGCGAACTCACAACAAATCCTAGAAAAACACTAAGACACACCCGCACGGTTTGTATCTTCCTCTCCCTATTCCATTTTGTCCTTGGACTGACTTATCTATGGACTTTGTTCTCGGACTCCCTAGGATCCGAAACAAAGACTCTATTTTTGTTGTTGTGGACAGATTTTCGAAGATGGCTCACTTTATTC